AAAAGAAAAGAGGGGACAGATTTATTCCATTAAATATTCAAATATATTTCCCAGCCATAGTAGGTAAGCCGATGTAGTACTGGTACAGGAACATACGAATAGACCAGGGAATTGAGTAGAACCCAGAAACAAGCAAATGAGAATTTGGTCTATTTTGGAGAAAAAATTAGTTTTTATGGAAAAATAAAAATTAGATCCCTGCCTAAGGCGGAAATATAAAAACAATTAAGGACTTAAATGTGAAAGATTGTAACTGCTAGAAGAAAATATAGAGGTCAGGCATGGTGGCTCATGCCTGTACTCCCAGCACTTTGGGAGGCTGTGGTGAGAGGGTAGCTTGAGTCCAGGAGTTTAAGACCAACTTGGGCAACATAATAAGATCCCTGTCTCTACAGAAAATACAAAAATTTGTTGGGTGTGGTGGCATGTGCCAGTAGTCCTAGCTATCCAAGAAGGTGAGGTGGGAAGATCTCTTGAGCCTGGGAAATTGAGGCAACAGTGAGCCTGCACTGTACTCCAGACTGGGTGACAGAGCAAGACCCTGTCTCAACAACAACTGAAAATAAAATGTAGAATATCTTTAGGATTTTGGAGTAGAGAAGAATTTGATCATCAGGCCAGTATTAACCTATTTTGCATTCTCTGGAGACACATCAGAAAAAATGATTGGGTTATATAAGAACAAATTAGCCTAGAGGTCAATTCTGTGTTGTTAACTCAGGCAAGCATCGTCTTTTTTCAGAGAACCAAGGTCTAGCTGAAAGTGGTTTTGGTCTCTATTAAAAAAAAAAAAAAAAAAAGAACCAAGGAATGGTTATTTATTGATGGCTGAATAATTGGTTTGTGAAAAGACAGGAAATCCAGGCTGAATATGGAATGGTGGTCTGGTCTTTGTGTCGACAACAATTGATAGGGAAACCCCAAGAGGGAGAATTTGGAGCACAAAGGGGGTACAAAGCCCTGATGGATGATTCTGTATGAAAGTAGATTGTCCCTGAACATGGCTATCAGGGACAGTCATGAGGTAAATGACTAAGTTCAGACACAAAGTCAGATATCCAGTAATTGTTGTTTGTTTTTATTTTCTATATGTCCTAAAAATTATGTTATTGGAGAGTCAATTATTATAAGTAGCATTTTTTATTTTTTCAGGATGGAGTCTGGTTCTGTCATCCAGGCTGGAGTGCAGTGGCACGATCTTGGCTAACTGCAACCTCTGCTTCCTTGGTTCAAGTGATTCTTCTGTCTCAGCCTCCTGAGTAGCTGTGATTACAGGCATGTGCCACCCCCTAATTTTTTAGGATAATTTTTTTTTTGTATTTTTTTTTCTTTTTAGTAGAGACGGAGTTTCACAATGTTGGTCAGGCTGGTCTCGAACTCCTGACCTCAGGTGATCCTCCTGTCTCAGCCTCCCAAAGTGTTGGGATTACATGAGCCACCGCGCCTGGAGAGGCAATTAAAAAGACTTTGGGGGATATAAATATAGCTTCAAATCCAAGTACTATCACACCCTAGCCATGAGAATTTCTTCATTTATGAAATGAATGAAATAATACCTACTTTTCAGGGTTGCTGTAATGATCAGAATATAAGTATGTAGGGTGGATTGGGGATGGTTGCACATTCTTTGTTATGTACTCACATTAAGAAATGGATTTTAATAGTTCATTGCCTTATTAAGCAGATATTTAATGGGTGCTTACTCCGTGTCACTTGCCCTTCTTGCTGCTGAACAAAGTAGATAAATTTCTTGCCTGAAAGTAATTAAGATAATACCTTTTAATCATTGTTGGTGATGTAATGGTTATTAAGATAACCACAATGTCAGGGTTTAGCTAAAAAGGCTTAATTGTCTGATATGGACATGTAAGAAATGAAGTTCAAAGTAAATCTGTCCTAGGTAAATTATAATTAACACCTAAGTATTAATCGCTAACAAACTGAATAGAAACCATTTAGCTCTTTCAAATTTAAATTAGCCTCTGTCTTACCTATTATTTTTAATTTATACCACTCCTTCCTGGAAGATGTGTAAATGAAAATTCTAATTGAGTAAGTTAACACAAATAAATATCCATCTATCCATCCATTCATTCAATCATTCAACAAATATTTTATTTCATTTATTTACTTTCTTTGGCAGAGTCTGACTCTGTTGCTGAGGCAGGAGTACAGTGGCATGATCTCGACTCACTACAACCTCCACCTTGCAGGTTCAAGCGATCCTCCTGCCTCAGCCTCCTGAGTAGCTGGGACTACAGGTGTGTACCACCAAACCCAGCTATTTTATTTTATTTTTTATTTTTTGTATTTTTAGTAAAGATGGGGTTTCGCTATGTTGGCCAGGCTGGTCTCAAACTCCTGGTCTTAAGTGACCCACCCACCTTGATCTCCCAAAGTGCTGGAATTACAGGAGCGAGCCATGGTGCCTGGCTTCAACAAATATTTGTTGAACAACTTTTTTTTTTTTTTTTGAGACAGAGTTTCACTCATGTTACCCAGGCTGGAGTGCAATGGCGCGATCTCGGCTCACCACA